TGTCCTACATAAAGTTCACTTAACAAAGAACAACATAAACACTGCATACTGCATAATAACCCTTTGCATTCACTTTCACAGCTAAAAATCGCAATGCATATCTTATATCTCCATCACTTTAGCCCATAACTAGTAGTCTATAAGTAAATGCTTACTTGTCTCCCCTGTCTATGGTTTCAGAGATCAACTGCGGTCACCCTGGTCAGCTATGGAACGGTTGGTTAGAGAATATTTCCTCTGGAACTGGACTGGGTGCCTCCATAATCTTCAGATGTCAGGATGGTATGAAGATGGAGGGCAATGGGTCTGCCATCTGCCAGAATGATGGCACTTGGAGTCATCCGTTGCCGATGTGTTTGGGTAAGTCAAGACTTTATTAGGCTCTCAATGCAATCAATATTTGAATACTTGAGAGTTAAGTTCTCACTGCTGAAAAGCAGATTTAAGTGAACCCAACTTACTGTGAAAGGAGGAATCTTACGAGTTTTCGGCTTACTCACGTAAGTGTTTGATGAGGAACTTGACTAGTTTTAAGCCATGTTTTTTTTTAAACCTTGCCCCTCACTAGGATTTTCTCCTGTGTCGTGGGTGTGTTTACGAACGTACAAGATCACATACACAATGACACCCAGACCCGAAACAACAATTTGTGGATCACACAAAGAGTTTTTCCGTGCGGGAATCGAACCCGCGACACGTTGCACGGCAGCCGGTTGCCCAGCCACCACATGAACCGTGCAGTCAAGTCAGTCTAGAGTGGAGGCTCATATTCATAAACAGCATTCCGTAACACGCGACGGCGCGAACTGACTACCCGTGTCTGCTGTGGTGCGTCAAACAGTTACGTGTGAGTAAGCCGAAAACATTATTATTAATTTAGTATCTCACGAGTTTTAATATAAAAACCTGAGTCAATCAAGCTGTAAAACAATCTAATATTAAGGTTAAGTGATAAGACCCTATGCCAAGGACAGTTGATTTTGACTTCTAATAATCGTTTAAATAACTGGAGAATATTTTTATAAACACTTTCATCCATCTCCTTTTTTTTGCGGAGTTTTAACATCACAATTTTATGTCACATATTCCAGCGCCGTGTGTGGTACCCCACGTGTCTCAAGGGCGAGTAGTGCTGGTGGAGAACAAGACAGGAGACAACAGCACCCATGAGGGCAACACGCAGATTGTCGGCAGCTCCACAATGGTGCAACATGGTATGTTATAGCAAGAAAGCAAGTAAGATAGAGGTCATACCACGAACTTAAATCGAATTCCCCCGCCCACAATGGCGGGCAACGTAGTTGTAACACTTTTGGTATTGCGTGCATTTAGAGGCGGCGCTAATTGTTTAATATTACCTCGACGGATTGATCTAACTAATTAAAAAATTATGAATCATTTTTATTCATATCTACAGCACGAAGTCAGATTCCATAAGTTCTGTCAAGCAGTGCTTGATAGATATTTATTTTGTTATCTGGTGTTCCAGGTGAAATAATCGTGGTGGAGTGCGCAAAAGATTATGAGTTTCCAACGAATAATGCAGCTGTGACGTGTAACAATGGAACCTGGACACAGATTCCTAGGTGTCAACCTGCCAGGTAAGTAGATGAAGATATTATTAAAGCTCTAATAAAGTAGTACTTAACGAGTTCGGTCTCACTAATTCATTAAACACACGTCTCGTGTACAGGTAAAAGCGTTCAATAGATCGTGACCAGAGACCTGTTAGGCAGAAGCACTCTCCGATAAACCTAAAATTCTTTAACTGAAATCTTCAGTCCATCTGCCAAGGCCTTATAATGATGTCTAGCAGAGGACAGCCAGAAACTGTTGATGAACTTGAATTACTAAACATTTTTTAAGCCTCACCATTTTTTCGGCAGTGCAAGAAGATGCCGAAATTCCCGCGAACGGAATGGTGATAGCGCCCAAGACTGAGCATGGCATGAAGGCGCGGTTCCGATGTAAGGATGGATTCGAACTGAAGGGGAACCCTATTGTCGTGTGCTCTTTTGGAGTTTGGAGTGGAGAGACGCCTAAGTGCGAAGAAGGTACGGCAACATTTGGATTGTATGGCAAAGTTATTTATCGCAAGTTTAAATTTTTTTACTGAATACAATGTTCATTTCTATGTTAATATAAGGATTATAACTTATCATTACAATGTTTATTTTCTAAAACCATTTTGCGGATATGTAATAAGCTAGCCAAATAATAAATTTGTTAAACCATCAACAGTTTTTAAAAATTGTAATTATAAATTCTCGTCTTTCATTCCAGTCTTTTGCCCATTCCCTGGCTACATAGAAAACGGGAAAGTTCTACTCGTCGGTAACATGGGCTTATACGACTATCGACCTTATGTTAAAAAGGTATCTGCTTCCCTATTAATACTTTATTCTTTCTTTATTAAGACCTATTTTACAAAAACATTTGAATTTTCAGGTGGTAAATAATAAGCAAATAATGTATGAATGTGAAAAAGGATATGTTCTATCTGAAGGTCCACCAGGAGCCACTTGTGTTGGAGGCCATTGGAGTCCAAGAGAACTGCCAAAGTAAGATAACAACAATACTAAATCAAGACACTAAAAATTTCAACCCAGATTTGACTTCATTTCATTCATTACAGGTGCACCTTTACCAGCATCCACGAATTAGATGGAGCCGTCGACGCCGATCCATTCCAGATCCAGAAATTCGTCATAGAAGATCAACATACCTTCGACAGTATTACAACAACCTCCATCGCCAAACTGACCCTTCCCAACAATACGTCGACCAACTTTACGATAAATACAACCATGGAACCTCTAAACCAACTTTAAGACATGCCAACTTCAAAATCATGAAGAAATTCGACTTTGATGGTGATATGGAAACTCCTACCAGTATTGAAAATAACGATGAAAACTTCCCAACTGCTGTGTACACTATTTATAACATTCATGGAGAACCTATTGGTCATAGATTGTATTCATATCAACCTGTGTATGAACCAGAAGAAGACGATGTAGTACAGCATGGAGATACTTCTGAGTATGAAGATTCTGAAGAAGGAGACGATGAATTGTCCCATGCAACAGTACTCAAAGGTGGAATGTTTGATGAACACAGTACTGATAGCAATGCTGACAATATAAACAAACTCAAACACGAGTATTTCGAACGATATGTTGATAAAAGACGAAAAAGATTTTTGATTAAAATATCTGGGGGTGCAAAAAAGAATTCAGATAGTACTCAAGATGAAGAAGATGATTTGGAATTAGATGGTACGAAAAAAGTACTAGACATGGAACTAGAAGGTGATGAAACTAAAATTGATACTGTAACAAAAGTCCCACCAGAAAGCACTACAAAGTTAGAATCAAACGAGGAATAAATAACGAAGAATATGATACAAATAATTGGACTCTAAAACCGACTACAGAAGATATAAATTTCAATAATGAAATTAATCTTGATTTATTAAAAGTAGTACCTTTGGCCACAAAGCTAAGTGAACTGATTGTGAAGATAGTAAAGAAATGACTGTTATACCTTTAAAAATAACTTTGAAGATAAAGATTTAAGTAAAGAAGTTGCTATCGTACCATTACAATACAACAAAACAAATTCCACAGAGGTTGATAACATTTTGGATAAGCGAGACAAAAGAACAAGTAGGAAAACTGATAGATTGAATCAGACTACAGCCACGGTTCCTAAAACGTAAGTATTTTGTAATTGTATATGTAGTAGCACCAGTATATATCGCCGCGACAGTCGCTGCATCGTGTTGCACGAAGCTCTTACGAATATGAGCCTCTATAATGGCTTGAAACTAGTCGAGCTCCTCGTAAACAGTTATGTGAGTAAGCCGAAAACACAATAATTAAGTGTATAGTGTATAATACAGTTAAAATCAAATTTCTAGCAAGTTAGTAAAGTTATATTTTAACTTATGTGCATCTGCGAGTAAGAGATGAATGAAGAACAAATAAATCCACAAACTGCTAAGATTTTTAAGTGTACTATGTAGAAAACAATGTAACACCAAAATATTTATTGCCAAAAACTACAATATGGTTTACAATGAAAACAATTTTTCTTGCAGTTGATCGAATGTAACACATGATACCATATAAATGATAATATCTTTACAGAGGCAGGGAAGGTAAGGGTGGTAGAAACAGACAACAATCATCCTCAACAGGAGAAGATCAAGATCAGACCGAAACTAAAGACGTAGTTGAAGGTAGCAGTCCACAGAATACTACGGAAAAGGGTAAAAAGGGACGCCCTAAATCCCCTTGTGAACCCATTGAGAGCGAACCTTATGTCAATATTGAGATTGTCAAATATGGACGGGATCCTAATAATACGTTTAGTTCAGGTAAATAGCTATAAATATTTTTTACTCTTTTCTAACCCCAAAGTGACCTGATACGTTTTGAGATATTTATAAATATTTATCCAGTAATATTTACTAATAATATAATTTTTATTATTATGCTATACTACAGACTTAATAAATATCATGATCCGGGATTACGATCCAAATATCACGATAAATATCTAACGTATAGCATTCACCAATGTTACCACTCCTATGTAGGGGATTAAGCTTATTGCCATAATGAAGAAGTGAACTTTACAAAGTATTAGAAAACACTTTTACGTATTCCAGGGACAATAGTTCGTGTAGCCTGTGGGAAAGGTTACGGATTGAATTTGGAAACGAATGCGACAGCCAAATGTGTGCGAGGGAGATGGAAACCTGAAAAACCAAAATGTGAAATACGTGAGTATTTTTCATATAGGTACCTATTGCATTTTCTATCGCCCAGCTCTAATAGATTTCAAGTAATAGATATTAAAATCTTCTAAGAAGTGACTTATGACACTGCCGCGCTTAAAGACAATCATTTAAACATTCTATAAAATGAAATAATCTCCAACTTCATATCCCAGTTCCCTGTCATGTACCCTCGACGGAGTATGGTATCTACACGATGTCAGCTGACTCTGGACATCCAATGACGGCCAGTCAGGTCCTAGGCTCCAACCTACAAGATGAAAAGGAACTGAATGAGACTGATCCGGTACCTAATGGACAGGTCGTGCATTTTTCCTGTGAATATGGGTAAGGAGACAATAATATAATTTAGAAGGAACTGCGAAGAATAATAGATGTTACCAGATTTGGCTATAAATCACATTTTTAATTTCTGTATTTCAGATATAATGTGCAAGGTCCAACGAATCTCCGTTGCTGGCTAGGAGAGTGGGCAGTGACCAGTATGCCCGAGTGTGTAGCAGGTTAGTACTGAATTAAATAGTATTCACGACAAAGTTCACTCCACATCATAAGTAAAATTTAATTTAAAAAGTGAGCAATATTTCAATAGGATATTACAAATACAACGTGCAGAGTATACTTACTTGAAATCCAAGGAAACATAGCTTGACACAATCGTAGATGCCATTCTACATAGCCCTCCAAAGCCTAACTTGATTCCTCAAACAATATTTCCAGCTCCTTGCGAACTCCCGTTGCTTCATGGTGCTACATACGAAGCAGGGTACCGTGCAGGACTAACAGTAGCTCACGCCTCCTCCGTCAACATAGCCTGTGAGCCTGGTAGATCACCGCCAGCAACCCTGAACTGTCATCTAGGAAGACTGCAGCCCACCGTCCATGATTTCTGCAGACCGCTTGGTACGTATGTAAAAATACGTGGAAATTATTAAAGATGAGATCAAAAAGGCTTTTTAGGACCAAGAATATTTGAAATAAATTATAGGAATGCACATTTTGAACACAAGCAATTAACACAATGATACTAATCTAATTGAGACAGTAATTAACTAATTAATTTTATCAACCTATGAGTAAGCTCCCGTAATAAAATAAATGGTTACAAATTGCTTGTATGTCTAATAGTCACTGAGATAAATTCAATATTAAAAACAGTATCACTAACAAATCTATCTCTCTTTCAGCTAATCTAACCCGTCCACGCCCAACTTCAGAATACCAAAGCGGCTCTGACATAGTTCGGGAAGATATTTCAGAATTGGAACCAGACATCGATGCTACTACTAACACAGACTGCGGTCCACCAGCCAGGTAAACTATTTAACTAAATCTGTAGGTAGATGAGGAAGAGCTAAGCACATGTTATCGAGAAAGTAGAAAAAAATAAATATGTAGATAGACTGTCGGATATAGATGAAGGTACCGGGTACGGTATTACATAGTATAGAGATTAAACTGAAGAATAGTGAGAATGTGACGTTTAACGTGTAATAAAGATACAGAATGAAATTTAAAGATATAGATAGGCGTCGCTAACAATCATTAAAAGCTTTTAAGGTTGATTTATTGAAAAAGTTAAGAAAGGCAAGACGAACGAATTGTTTATAAGAGAGGACAATAAAACACAAATTACCATTACTTGAAACAAAACAGATATATGAAATCCAAAGAAATATAAGCCCTAAGAATCAGATGTTAAGTTTTAAAACATTGTAATTTTTTGTGCAGGAATCCACAAGAAGTCAGGTAATGTGTGATTAGCTCTGAATGTGATTATAAAAAGCTAATTAATAATAAACATAATGACACTAGTACGTGAAATTCGAGTTTGTTTATTTTGACCAAACGCTTTCATTGTAGCTTCTGTGGTTTTTGTTTTAACATGTCTTGTTACGCCATATTGGTTAACAGATAACGAAATTAATGTTATTTTCCAATTTATGAAAGGCGTTGGCTTAAACTTTTGAGTTTACAATAATAATATTGATGCTAGTGATTGAGAAAAATCAAAAACTATTTTAAAAATAATAAGAGAACGACTTATAGCAAAAATGAAGTCATTGATTTTATCTGTAACGTTTGAAATAACAAAGTAAGGAATTTAATGCTATTGGGTGTTCTTCAGGGCACAGTTCTTGGTCCTCCTTAGATTCCCTAATACTTGTATATTTTGCTATATGAACGAAAATGATTAGGTTAAACACAATTTTTACTTTACCTTAATGTTTTAGGTACCAAATATGGCATACAGACATGTATTTCAAATGATTTTTGGTTTCGTCACTCATCCAAATCACGTTGAAGGATCAAACATTATAGCTCTAGAATTCTAGTCTTTCACACGAAAGCAATATGGTATATAATAGTTTGTTATAAATGTTAGATCCTTGCGCTTTGGAGCAGATGATTTATTTTGTTTATTTTTTGTTTTTATTTAAGTTCGCTCTTGTAAACTGTGATAAGCAAAACTTGAAGGAAATTGTGGTCAGTGTATTTTAACTTCTCATTTAGTGGTACTCCCTAATCTTTATAACAAGGCTCCTCTTTAATGAGGTCTTTTTCACGCGGTTTGGTTTTAGGCTTTGGGAACCTGAAATAATGATGTAAAGGTTTTAAAATTGTATGTTACTGACTGACTGCAGCTTCCTCCAACAAATCACTGTCATCCAACTAGGATGAAATGAGCCGCGATAAAAAAGAAGTAATGTGTTTGCAAAGATATGCGTTTCTTATTTGCTCGCTGAAGACTGAAGGGAACCCAGGCGTTCAGGGATGCGAAGCCCTGGTGAGAGCCTTATAGGTTCGAAATTTTGCTTCTTTACTAACTCACGTCATCACTTACTCATTGATGGTCATGCTCATCAGTTTCAAATTCATGTTTTGACATTCCTCCGTGACTTCTGGTGTGGGTTTGACTAAGAGAGAATATTTTAGAAGGCACACTTCTTTGCTTGAAAATCCTGTATTATAATCTGTTGTTGCCCATAATTATAGAGGACGATACCCTCTTCTCTCTCAACTATTATTGTTAATGGCTAATATAAATGTTCAGTATCTAATCCCTGTTTGAGAACTACCCTTTGAGAGGTACCTGGTGATTATTACAAATATAAATAACTTCTGCAGTCTGTGATTCTCCAACTGTTTCTCTTTAGAATGACTCCAAATGTGTTCAGTCTTTTTTAACGTTTACCATCAAGTGCTAAGGATCTTAGTCACTCCCAGTACATCGCATTTTCATACTTTTTCAAGGGTTAACGTCACAATCATGGTACAAATCCTCGGAAGGCAGGGCTTAGTTAACGTTGAAAAATATACTTTCTACCTATGTTGATAAGAACGCTAATTGTATGGCCGTAACCTGGCTTCTTATGTCTTGGCCGAGCTTCTGTTTGGTTGCTAATTTATTTGAAAATTTCGACTTATAGTGCATGATCAACGGATTTGGTTTACCGTTTATTCTAAAATTTGTCTTTTCTATTTAATGTTTTAACTGAATCTAGTATTTTATTATGGTCACTGGTGACATTTTGAATTCTATCAAATAAATGCTGTGTTACTGAAGCATTATCTTCTTCAACCTTTGCCTTAAACTTTCTAGATTTTTCTCGTCCATCAGTGGCCTAAAAGTCTGTGTTTGTGTTTTGGGGTTCAGTATTTTGGAATAATTCCTTGAAGGGTCCAGGGTACGCTGATATACCGAGATGGGGCTGAAGTGAACAGCTCTTTAGGAGTGGAAGGATACCCTCATGGCACCGAGATCACGTTTAGATGCATAGCATCGATCATGGGAGAGAAGACCACTTGGAAGCTGATTTGCGAGCAGGGCAACTGGGTTGGCAAGAGTTTCAATTGCGGTAAGTTGCTCATTCTAACTCATTTTAAACTACAAAAACATTTTTGGTGTTACTACCTCAAAAGATATAGCCCATGTACCAAATGTAACGAGGACTACGGTTTTAGTGTGAAATCATTCTCTTTTTTCAAAGGTGTAAGCTGTGGTACGCAATGTCAGGGCTATAAAAGGTATTCTCCTAATATGTATACAATTTATTTGTTTATAATACACAGAAGAATTAGAAGCTCAGAACGAGGAACTGATGAACAACAACAGCTGTACCTTCGAGAATGATGAGCCGAACGTGGTCGCATTCTATAATGATATGCAGATTACTGAGGTAGTCGACTTTCCTGCTGGAGCTATGATCACATCTAGGTAGTGTACCTGTTTATAATAACTATCGTGTGACATACTAAATAAAAATCGCGGGTTACTCACGAGGAAATACTGAAAAAAAGGTCTACTAGTTTCAAGCCATAGTGGGACTCTTCCTCATGACCAGCGTGCGCGGTCGCGGCGATGTCGGGAAGCCTCCTCTCTCTCAGTATTTTCACGTGAGTAACCCATGACTTTTAGTAATTTAGGTATGGTAACTGATGATGATGATGATGATGATGATGATGATGATGATGATGATGACGACGACTTAGTGCACATAGGTACTCAGTTGTCGGTTATTTTGGAGTTTCATATTGAAAGGACAAACGTAGTGCGCAACAATAGTGATAATTTTCGACTTTATTTATTTGACTCAGAATATTGATAAATCGAAATCCCTACCAGACTTGTTCTAAACTCAGAATTACATACAAGATTCTTTTTAAGGCTGATGCGCTTGCTTTTAGAAAAAGAGTAATTTGCAGTGTATAATGTTCCGAAATTGTATTTTTAGGTGCAGTGACATCGGGAAGTACTCTATGTCTGGGTCTCAAACCCGTAAATGTATCGGAGGGGCCTGGGATGGTGTTAAACCGACTTGCGTTGGACTTAACCAGCAAATGGATTATGCCAGTAAGTTGATATAAAACATAATATTTACTTAATACAAAATATCTTGCTGGGCAGTTGCGCTTGCGACCAACCGAAAAATAAGGCATCATCACAGTAATACATCATAACAGGCAAGCGCAGCGTAGGACGCCCATCCCCAAGGTGGACAGACGACCTGATCAAGGTCGCAGGGAACCGCTGGATGCAGGACGCTTCCAATCGGAAGTCATTGGGGGAGGCCTATGTTCAGCAGTGGACGTCCTGTGGCTGATATGATGATGATGATGACAGTAATATTAAAAATGTGAAATTTTGGATGTTTGTATGTTTTTCCGTTAACCACACTGAAACTTCGGAACGGATTTTGATAATGACTGAACGAACTGATTTGGTATACAGGCAGGGTATGGGCTGACTTAGGTGATAAGATATTTTTTATCCAGATTAAATGCCCAATGGATCATATTCTACGCAGACAAAGTCGCGGGCATCTAGTTTCACATGTTTTTAGACATGATCCAGTTTATAAGGTATACTTTATTCTACAGCTTTATATCTAACCACTGACCATCTTATTTCCAGTGGAGAAGAAACCTACAATCCTGTTCCGTCACTCACAGGGCCCAATCGCGCAGACCAATGATGGGAAGCTGCTGGTCTACCCTGGAACTGTACTCCACATGGAATGCTTGTGGATGAGGAGATTTGGGAACCCCAAGTGGAATGTTACGCATAATAATCCGGAGTAAGTTGTTTAAACCTTGATTTTGCTAAGGAATAGGAGGGAAAAGAGCAGATGAATCACCTGATGGTTTAAGCAAACAGCGTCGCCTCCCCATGAACACTTGCAACACTGAGCATTTCAAAGTGCGTCACCTGTCTTGGTGACGGGGGATCAGCATCTGATTAAAATCACATTATGTTACACCAACTCAAGCATTTTCACGCTGCTTTCATGTAAGACCTTGATGTCACTCTGTTCAAGCAGGGCCATTCTTGACAAAGCATGGCTTTTTTTTTGATGACGTGGTGAAACCTTCAAAAGGCGCCTAGGCTTTTTGGGGATAAAAGAAATAGGGAGTGTAATTTAATAAACAAATTAATAAACATAATCAGTGGAAAAATATACCTTTCTTAATTTTATCCTTTCTTAGTTCTGACCGCAAGTACATAGAGGGCTGGACCACGGATCCTGGGAGGGACAGTGCCTTGGAATACAGGCTGAGCATCATCAATGCTGAAAAGGAGGACTCTGGCATATACCGGTGTGAGACACCAGCCCGACAGAGCCATCAGGTCGAGATAATCGTTGAAGGTAAGAAAAACGGTAATTATGACCGAAAAATCCATCATCATCATCAATAGCCTATAAATGCCCACTGCTGAGCAAAGCCTCTTCTCACACGGAGAAGGTTTAAGCATTAATCACCATTCACCACGCTTGCTCGATGCGTGTTGGTGATTACAAACTTATGATTAGAAATTATAAGCCCAGGTTTCCTCACGATGTTTTCCTTCACCGTTTGTCATTGGTGTCTGAATAATCTTAGAAAGTACATATTTATGGTCATAGTTATGGTCGTGGTGGCCCGGAAACAAGTGAAACAAGTGAATTTATTTCTGCAAACAGGCTACAAGGCAGCACTTTTACACGTCAATTTTATCAAGCGAACGATGAGGTCGACATTTCCTAACTGACTACTCTGAGAAGAAATGCCGAAACAAACTCAGAGGTCCGTCTCTTTTAAGGAGGTTTAAGACGCCTGTTTCTCATGCACGATGGTGCGGGTTCGAAACCTACCAACGGCAAGTACCAATGTGACTTTTTCCGAGTTATATATACTTTCTAAGACAGAAAAATATGTCGAAGATATACTAAATACTAACCTAAAGTTCGTGATTCGTTCGTGTTCGTGATGCCTGAATAATGAAACTAGACACAATCCAAACTTTATATTGAAGCTCATTCTCATTTATAAGTAGTTGCCCAGACAATAAGCAGATCAATAAGCACCAAAAATTCTACATTAAAAAACAGTGTTTATAGTACCTACTCAATCTCTTCCACAGACGTTCATTGTCCCCCACTCCCTATTCGCCGTGGGCTAGTAGCCAGTGGACTAGGCACCCGGCTGGGCACAGAGATTCGGTTCCACTGCGCCAATGGAAATGCGTTGCTTGGTGCGCACACGCTCGTCTGTCGCGCATCGGGTAATTGGAGTGCGCCTTTACCTGTTTGTGAGAGTAAGTATATATATAAATTTGCAATGAAATTCTAGACAATTTCTTCATCATACTAAATTAACTAAAATCGCGGGATACTCACGTGAATATACTGAGTGAGCCAGTGAGCTGCGCGACGTCGCCGCGACCGCGCACGCTGCTCATGAGGAAGAACCCCTCTGTGGTTCGAAACTAGTAGAGCTTTTCTCAGTATATTCACGTGAGTAACCCGCGATTTTAGTTAATTTCTTCATATTTTTCCATAATTTGGTATCATTCTTCCTAATCGCTTGTTTCAAGTTCAGTCGGCTTATTATACTTTCTTAATTCGTTTTTCCCCATGATTTACCCTGCCCACCTTCATTTGTTGCAGGCGTGGAATGTGGTGAAGTAGTTCATGATACGCCACTGGGTGAAGGTGAGAGAAGACCACGTGTGGCCGTGGTGTCACGAGGTGTAGGTGGACGTGCTGCCTTCTCCTGTGCTCCTGGCTGGGCGCTGCGTGGAGCTCCAGAAACTGTATGCCTGCCTGCTGCTGATTGGGCAAAACCTTTTCCTGTTTGCAGAGGTTAGTGGCTATGACTAATACATCAACAGTTTGTGACAAGTCAATGCCAGACTGCGGGCTTCCTCCTACATAAGCCGACTGGCCAAAGTTCATGACAAAGCTTGCATTCACATTATTCCCTGGTCAGTTAGAACTGAACCACTATTCTGAAATTTTCACTCTTTTTCCAGAGGTATCCTGTCCAGCACTACCCCCACCAGCATCAGGCTACGTTCTAGGCCGAGCACCGTACCGCGCAGGAGACGTACTGCAGTTCCACTGCAACCCTGAACATACATTGCATGGAAGACCAATATTGGTCTGCCAGGACAGTGGACGATGGAGTGATAAACCTCCTACATGTAAGTCTTCATTTTATAATAATTGCTACCGTGTCTTTATGTACTGGGACTTGTAATTTGAAGCAACTGAAGCGGAGGTACGGTCCAACTATGGATGTCTACAATAAGAGAACAACCCTGAAAAAACCCTTTGGGTTTTTGTAGCCTTTTGGAGTATATATAAGTTTCGAGAAATTTCAGTATGTAGATCATTCTATAGAATTAGTAGGTATTATTGTGAGTTATGTTAACCAGTCATTTATCAAAGCAAGAGCTTGGCTCGGATATATTTCAGACTGTTATTAACAAATAGTATTTTAAGTCTATTATATTTTCACAAAACTGAAGTACTTTCTCGGTTGTCAGGTGCTCAAGCATGCACATACCCTGGCACTACAATCTCAGGCCGCATGTCTTCAGTCAAATTCTACTACAAGATCGGAGAGACTATAACATTCACCTGCGAGCCTGGGTACCGGCTGAAGGGAGCTCCTATGCTGCGATGTTTGAAGTAAGTCTAATCTTGGAAACGTTCTACTAGAACTGGTTTCAATTGAACTGAGCCATCTTTCATAATGAATCTCCTTCAAGAAGTAAGAATCTTATGTAGGTGCTTAGCTTATAACATAAGTTTTAGAAACATAACAAGCAGAGCGATTAAAAACTACAAAACAGTTTTAAACGTGAAGGGGTTTTTTTAATCTTGTGGAAAGAAGAAGAATTCCTTCTTTGCTTTGTTGTTTGATCCTAATTTTTCAATATAAGTCAGAGCTTATTTAATATCTGAAATTACTTTACAGAAACCGAAAATGGTCAAATGCGATTCCACTCTGCACACCGAACTCAAACTTCACATCATCGGACTCAGTCGCCATGTTCAACGGTGACATAGACGCCATGTTGTCTGACGAGCCGGCGGACATCTTGCGGACGCGGGAATCGCCCGCCATCTTGTCACCAGAGAGTTACAAAGCCGCTGTCACTAGAGCTGCAGTGTCAAGGCTACTCCGAAGAGGTCCGATCGAGAATTTTAGAAATAGAGTATTTAGAGTAAATAGGCTACTTCGGAGAGACACAGAAAGATAATTTTTAGGTTATTTTTCATAAATTTTTGTGTGCGGTAATTTGGCGAAGAAAGCGTCGAATGTGAAGAAGCTAGCACATCAAACTAACCCACATTCTAATCGATTTTTGACTTTATCACTAAAGTATAAAGTTGACATTCTATTGTATCGATTTGACAGGTTCGGGTACCTTGATGTGCTGTTGCGACTTATGATTTTAGTTCATTATTGGATTTTATAAGGCGTGAGTTTGAGCGGTTTTAGCTCTTTGGGTACTTAGACTATTTGTTGTACTTATTTTGTGAATATTTTCATCCAAATTGTCAATTATAATTATTAAAAAATGTTTAGGTGTGTGTATAATGTGAGTTTCGAATCGTGAAGAAAATTTTGGAGTCCAATTTTATTTACAAACGTTTTTTTTAAATAAAATAAGTAAGGCACAGGACATTACGCATACAGAGCGCGTTAAAATAATTTTAGTAAATCGTGGTATTATTAATTTAGTTGTTAAATATTTGAATATATTTTTTGATTTGTTAACAGAAAAATAAGATAATAATTCACTAGAATTTATTTATTTATTACTTATGTTTTAAAGTTAAACATTGCGAGTAAAATAAATATTGATTGAAATGGATTTGAAGGAATAACTAAGAGACTAATGAATAGGTTTAGAGAAAAATTTAGTAAAAATAATATATTAATTTATTTTTAAGTGTTACTTAAATTATTTTCTTTGAAGACTGTTTAATTATAGAGCGCATTACAAACGTTGCCAAATACTTATTCATTTTTTTTACTTTTTTTTGTTTTTTAATAAATTTTTACAATTGTAAATAAAAAACGCTTCGCCAAAGAAATTTAGAATACTCTTATAAATATTAGTTACAACTTTGTAGATAAAATTATTATGGTAATAGTAAATATTGTAAGTTTAATTAATAATAATTAGAAAATGTACCGATAATTACAACGATATATTCACTATTGAATATTGAAACTTTAATCGACTATACTTACTTACTTACTTCAGTGTACCTATTACAACATTAATTTAAATTTAAATTTGATCCTATTCCTAAAAAAATTACATTAATTGGGCAAATTTTTTTATTTTTTTTTAATTTTCTAATGTGTCTACTAGCAGGCCAATACAATTCAAATTAGGTTTTAAATTGCGTTAGCCTTCTTTAAGTTAGGCACAAAAAGTTCTGTTGTAAATCGGTACATTTCATATTTTTCAAAGTCGTAATAAAAAATAAAAAATTTAAAAAGTAATTTTGAATACTGCGCTAGTTTGTACCACGCACAAATAAATATTTGGAAACATTTTGATCATTAAATCTATTTAAATAGGGTTTAACTTACCTGTGGATTAAAAAGTTACTTAAAACTTATAAAAAACTTATAAGTTACTTATAACTTATACTTATTGCTCAATTATTATTGTTTATTTTACTAAAATTTTAATTTTTTAAGTATTGTAAATAAATTAAGATATTTTTCGCCACAATTAAGTTAAACCCGTTTAAAATATTATTGTGCATATCAAAAAACAAAATTGCATATCTTATTATTAATTATTACTTAAAAATTAATAAAAAAATACGAAAGAATCAAATAAATCTTTAAATAGTTGTATACTTTTTCAAAAATAAAACTATGTAACTCTGTCCCATTAAAGAAAATAAATTAATAATAATAATAAAAAATGAACATTTTTCTGTTTTTTATTACATTATTTAATAATCTTAGAAAGTACATACAACTCGGAAAAAGTCACATTGGTACTTGCCGTTGGTAGATTTCGAACCCGCACCCTCATGCATTAGATGCGGGCGTCTTAAACCTTTGGGCCACCACGACCCTACTAATATTTACACATAGGTATCATAACATCACGCTTTTTAAATATTTAATACTATATTATTATATTTATTAATATACGGCTAGTATTTAAAGATGTTGGAATATAATACAGTTAATTACCTCTAAATAGCCATCTTATTTGAATATCATGAGATATGTACCTATCAAATTTAAATTCTATAAAGAAATCCCGTTGTTCGCTAGTCGCAAGCGCAACTAAAGAACGACTCACAAAATGAAATTGATAAAATTAAATTAACAATTTCTTGAGTTTATTGACATTCAAAAATGGTAACACAGACTGCCATTGAGCAACTGATTTTCGAAGTATTACTGAGATGTATCCATTTTTCGTAAAGGGCTAAGGGGGAAGCCTTTGTGTCCAGGACTGGACGTCTTCTACCAATAGGTAGATCATCAATAGATGATGGCGAAGATAATGATCTGTTTTCTCTTTCTATTTCCCATTTTGACACAGGAAAAATATTCTAAACTATCTTAGCTAATATTATTTATGCATATGAGTACCTAGTACTTAAGTAGTACTTATTTATAAATCCTACATCAATTTTATTACCAACAGGTTACCTAACAGTTAGGTACCACCTGAGGTTGTTTATAAAACAAATTACATTACAGATTAGCTACTGGGAAACTCGTAAATCAATCTTAAAACTGACGCAATGTACTACGCTTGTCTTTAATTCAATCAAGATTGATTTGAGACGACATTTCTTTACAATTTTTCTGTTTTAATCAGTATACATTGACGGTTTTGTTCAGTGCTATGGTCAAGAGTGAGAATTCAACACGCAATGGATGTGAAACAAAGCGACAGTTTGTTAAAAATGAAAGGTATTTAGTACGGGTTTGTCAAGCAAAGATTTTCAATTCAGTTCGGCGCGCATCGCGCTCACGGAATGACGTTTGTAGTCCCGCGTTTTCGCGCCAAAACGCGTGTCACTTCTCAACTGTCAAAAAAGTGTTCGAAATACGAAAAGTTTTAGTTTTTATTTTGTGTTGTTTTTTTCGATAATCTATCGTAAGATGGCTGGTTGATTTTTTATAGAGTTTTTTTTTTGTTTTTGTTAAAAGTGTGTGATATTGTGTTTGTGTTTGTCATGGTGTTCTATGGTGTTGTGTGGCGATAAACACCGATAAGGAATAGGTAATATTTTATGAGAATTATTTTAAGTTACCTACACTTAAGAAATGTCATTAAGATAACATGGCTGTATGACCTGCATACCTTCGCCTACCTTCGACTGGTAAACGGTTTACTCATTAGGAATTAGTCGTTGGTTCATTTTTAATGAACTAAAGGTATTTTATAAATACTTATATATTTTCGTTATTAAACCTGTTTGTCTAATTGTTTGAAGGATTTAGTAAATATTTTATACTGTGATGATAGGTAATGTGGGTGTTTTCTATATTTAATATGTCATGTGTTTTTCTTTTGTATTATTATGTTTTGCTGACTGAAAGAGACTGTGCCTTACGACACAGGGAATATAGTCTGGGGTCCAGGGCCATACAAAAATGTAATGTTTTTTTTTATAAATAGAGAAATTAATAACGGATTAACGAATTTTAAAATCTCTAAAACCATCTCTGTTTTTCTTAGAAACTCACAATTAATGTTAAACGTCATTCAACAGTCAAAGTCAAAGCATTTATTTCAATTAAACCATAATTTGGTACTTTTGAAACGTCAACAAATACAAAATAAATAATAGTCTAATAGTCTGTCAGTCAGTCCGTCAGTGAAGCTAGGTGAAGCTAGGTGCTCATTCCAAAATGTAGATTCGAATGGAGAAGAACGAAACTCCATTCGTTATCTTCTTAATCCTATCGAAATCCTATCGATCTTAATACATAGACTGAATAGTTTTCGCGTTCACTTTATATTTAGTTAGATAACATTTTATACATTTTTTATGAAGACTAGCTGACCCAACAAACTACGTACCGCCAAAAAAACATTCTTTTTAACCTTCCATGGACTTCCACGAACATTTACAAGACCGAAGATTAACCAAATTGGGTCAACCGTTCTTAAGTTTTAGCGAGACTAACGAACGGAATATCATTTTTATTTATACAGATATTTTATGTCTAATTTCGATTTCCTTGTTCCTTCCTTAAACTGTCAAACACCGCGAGGACACCGGTGACCGCAACCTATTGTTCTTTAACTCGTCGAGTACCGGTTTTATAGACACAATTAAAGAACAATAGGTCGCGGTCACCGGTGACCGCTTGGTGTTTGACAGTTTAATTCTGTCTATAATGACGGTACTCAAAGGGTTAATTTAATCTTTTTGCCAATTCCACCTCCAAAAAGACTACTAAGGCTGGCCGTCACACACGAACTCTTCAGTAATATCGTAACCTGATTCTGTACCTAGGCTGAAACTCAGGTATTGCCTAAATTAAGACTTAGACATTGATTACACAATTCTCGATTTACGCTAGACCAGACTGGGTAATTAGTTATCGACGGTTTGACGAAAATTACTGACAGAAATCGATTTTCTTAAATCACAATTTAAATTCAATGCCTTATTGGTTCTTTGGTAGTTTGAGAGACTAGAACATGCGTATTGCAGTTCTATTCCAATCCATCTGTCCTATCACCTAAAATAGGTCCTACTAATGGCATTTTTCGTCAACCACTCCTTAACCATCTCTTAAAGAATTAGCACCAGAGAGCACTTAAACTCTTACCTTTAAATGTCACTTATTGATTGGTGTTATGCCAAAATTTCGTTAAGTGTCACCTGTCTTAGCATAAGGGTTCCTTATAATATTTAAGAGAAGTTTGTCAAAAACGGGGAGGTATTCTTGCCTATTAGTCGTCAAAACAATACAACACACGTTTTTTTTTTCATATTGCTTGCAATCTATCCATCGTCTCTTTCATTATTTGCAGTATAAAACAAAGAGAGAAGAAATGTAGGTATATACACGAAAACCCATCAAAATCGGTTCAGTAATTTAGGCATGAAAGCGTAACAAACTCACTTTCGCATTTATATGTTAGAAATACCTACGACTGCCTCCTTACAGAATGGGTATAGTTCTACGATTAAATAAAAAATACCTAAATATTAGAATATAAAAAAAAACTATGTCCCTATTAGATTA